ACTATAAAAAAAAAAAACGCTTCGTTGCAAATCTTTCGATAGTGTTTAATTTTAAAAAATTGGTGGATTATTCCAAAAGCTACATGATCTGCTATTTTTTTATTAACATCCTGAATGAAAAAGGGATTATTAATAAATATTATTTCTCATAAAAAAATTGTGTTGATCCATACACTTTTCAATAAGTTATAGCATTATAAAGTTAAATATAATATAAAAAATAAAATCGAGAATTTTCACATAAAAATAGCATTCGATAGCCATTTTCGCCATGAAGACAATAACAAAGGTCAAATTTTTTTTTTTTTTATTATAGTATATTACATTAGCTTTAATTTAAGATATTTATAAAAGTTTCAGACCTTCCGGAATATTTTAAAAAGTTAAGTTGAAAAAGTTAATTTTTTGTGAAAAAGTTGTCATTTTAAATCCCCCCTGTGGGCAGATAAAGAATCAGATATAACAAAAAAATATACCAAATGAAAGGTAATGATATCATGCATCTATATAAAAAAGAATTATATTGATATGTTCATTTTTGAAAAAATTATGGCACATTTTAGTGAAAAAAATTGAAAAAATTTTGAAAATTAGCGATTTTTAAATTAGTAATTTTTTTGGAGGTTTCCCCCATTTATGGGGAACGGGGGAATTTTTTTCAATTTTTAAGGGTAATGTCTTCGACTAGATACGATTTGTGATCTTTTGACGTATCGTTGAAAGAAATCCGTTCCGTGAGAGCTGAGAAAAAGTGGTAACAGACACAAAAAAAAAAAACACATCATAGTAAAACCAATCTCAGCTTCGCATCGAAGCTAAAAAGGTTTTAAATTATTTGTATTCAGTTTGTGATTAAGTGGTCTATGATACAAAAAATCAACTTATATGTCTATTATTTTAATTTATGTCAATAATTTTTACATACCATTTTATGAACTTGTTGATAAATAAAATCGTTTACTTAGTCAAAATTATAATATTTTTTCACGAATAAATTCTAATTAAATATTCAATTATCTGTAGCTTTTATAGGAAAAAAAAATTGTTTTCACAATTTAAAACTTAGTCTAAATTTATTACATTTACGTATTTAGTTGAAAAATAAAACAAATTTTTTTGTCAAACATTTTAAATTTTGATATAATTACACCATAAAATCATAAGTTCAGATGTAAAAATAAATATTTTATCATTTTTTGAATGTTGATTCAAGTGTTTAACGAAGAATTATTGTAGAAATATATTTTTGAAAAAATTTTACAGACCAACAAGACAACCTCTTAAAAAGAGAACTTTTGTGATTGAGTTTTTATTCAGGAAAGGGATCTTCACAAGAAATGTAAACAACCCTATCTAAATGAAAAAAAAATTGCTAGGGTGTAAATATTTTTGTTTTAATAAATTAATTCATCACATACCTGTCATTCACTGTATGATTGACTAACGATAAGGTACTTGTTTCTTAGAAGTTATTAAATATTTTCAATTTTTATAAAGAAAAATATTGTTTGATACAAAAAATTCTAGAATAATAAGTAGTTAAATAAATTTTTTTTTATCCTATCAGATAAAAATAAAATTATTATTTTCTTTAACGGGAACTATTATTTTTTGTTAAATGACAGAATAACTTTATGTGATGAAAAATATGAAAAATGTTCAATAAATTTTGCTTATAATTTTATAACTTTTTATTGAAAATCCTACGGTAAACGCGTGAATGTTAATAAACATCCACAAAGTCTATCTTCTTTGGACAGTCAATATTCACATTATATCGAAATAAAAATTTATATTATATTTCTAATATAAATTTGGTTGTTTCAATCAAATTTAATGGTGATACATGATTGCAAAAGGTATCTTTTTAATATTAGCTTATGTTGTTAAAATAAATTACCAACTATTTTTCTTTATTTAATTATTATTTTATATCTAAAGTAAAAGAATAATTAGTTATTAAATAAAATACTTATTAATATATATATATATATACAGTATTATTTTTTTATCATAACCCACTCAATTACTTACAGAGTAATAATAATTAAAACATTTTTTTTTTTGGTTTTCTTTAGTTACACATTAATACTAAATTATTAACTATGTAATACTTTTTAAGTTCATCTCTTATATTTTGTAAAGGTGACAACTTTGTTTTTTAAATAGGAACACATATTTTAAATCTAATAAAATATTTTAGTTTTTAATTTAATAGTAATCTCATTTGAAATTTTAATATAACTTAATTCGTTTATTTTTATTTTTTTTTATTCGTTTTTTGGTTTTTTATCACATTGATATTAGGAGATACAAAGCATTGTTATTATCAAAAGTAATAAGGCACATTGTTGTAAGTTTATAAATACACTAACTGACAATGCAGAAAGTATATTTATTGATAGTCATAATTGATAATAAACAATCCGTGACTGTGACAGCAATGTCATAAAAGCCAATTAGCTAATAATAACACTAACAATTATTAAACAAAAAATTCTTCACTAATCTAAAAAACTTTTACCTTTTTTTAGCTTCGATGCGAAGCTGAGAAGGTATTGGTTTTACTATGATGTGTTTTTTTTTTTTTTTTTTTTTTTTTTTTTTTTTCCCCTTTTTTTTT